AAGAAATGACCATAATATTGGCAAGAAACGCGAATAAGTCACGTTCTGTGGATTAAGCATAGCACCTTTCATACCGGATTTTCTGCAAACAAACTGACCAGTCATTTATTTCGAATCGCTAATCATCCTTCGTGCTTGAACATTTTTTATTGTACAGGATATCGATAGTAACCTACGACGATCGGTATCGCCTTCATTATTTACAAATTACCCAATTCGTTCATTTCGTTTCCCGAACTTCTTTCACACAATTTCTCTTCAAAATATTTTCACCCGTTTGCATGATTTTTACTTCTGTGCCAATTTCTGAATTTCTTTTTAAGCCATTTATGGAGTAGAACTTGCGATGAACAACGAACAGCAAGAATGTATCTATCCCATAGAAATTGAAATGAATTCATTTCCATCATTCTTATCACCATTCAATGTTCTAAACCAATTGATACCTTATGGTTCATGTTCCCGATTGCAGACCACCTTCTCATTCGTTGACTAACATCAATTCGGTTCTAAACTAATTGGCTACTAGACGATGTTGTTGCAATTTTTATTGGTGTTGTTGCTATCATTTGTTCATTCTTCTCCACCTTCAGCTCATTCTCAGTGATGAAGTGCATTAAAACAATACTCAGCTAATGACAACTATTCATGTAGGTTCGAAAGGATAAACATGCGAATTCCATTGTGATCGCATGCTTGAAACGTTTATTGCCGGTTGGTTTGAATGTTTTCGGTGGTCGTGAATTGGATATTGTACAACAAACCAAGGAGAAGTTCTTGGCGAAGGAGAATGAGGAGAAAATTCGTGAATTCATCAGATCACTTCTCGATATTCCCGTCAAGGTTGGTGTCTTCTTATTTCCTTTGCACAACCATACCATATACCTTTAAGACTCTGATNTCTTCGAATAATTGCAGAACGATCCAACCGACAAGAATGCGTGGCAGTTGAATTTGTATCGTAAAATCGGTAAGTCACAAATGCGCGGTAAAGAGGAGATGACCCACGATGGTGTGGTGGAGAAAATTATTAATATGGGACAAGTGGTCGCGATTCTTCACGTTGTTAGTCTTTTGTTGGATTATTCGTTTAGTGACACGGTGCTTTTATTATAGATAAATGAATTAGAAACGGTTTGTTTGCTTTTGTTTCATTCTTTTAAAATAACATTCAATGTGTTGATTATACGGCGAATCATTAATCACGCCATTCGTTTACTAACAAACTCTTGTCGATTATTATTCGCTTGAGCTGTGATAGATGTGGATGTGATAATCCTTGATTCATAACAGATCAATTGCGTGAGCTCTTTGTGATTCGTTCGTTCGTTATGGATGAAAATTTTTGACGATTCGCTTTCTTTTGATTCAGTTGATTAACAGTAATCATGATATCGCTAATGACGATAACATCAACAATAATACTAATAATAGTATTGAAGAATTAAGGGGTTTCGCTTAAGTGTGAGAATATGCATGAATTGTACTGTAAACAGGTTCAGGTGAAAAGGAATCTTTTTCAATGGAGGGCAAACATAGGTAACCATAGAAGGAACATATTGAGTCACATCTGAATCGTGCATATACCCATAGAATGAAAAGTTTCGATAACAGACGATGGTGTGATGCATTGGGAAACGTTTTTGTTTTTACCTGTCAGTGGTTTGTTTTGTAGTTGAAGTGTATTTATAGTCGTCTCCTCAGAATCGCACTGCAAAATGTCATGCATGCATGTAAGCAAGCGTATAATTTATTTATTGATGTTGATACTGTTTCAATTTT